TAACAAAAATTCATAAAAATTATTTGATTAAAGGGCTTTAAATTTTTATTTTCACTAATATTTATAAAATGTGCTTGACTTTAATTTTAAAATTAAAATGTTTCTTTACTGATGAGTCAAAATTGTGTAAAATTAAGGCTAAACTGAAACAAAAAAAATTACCTTTGTCGTTAATTGTGTTTATTATATTTTTTAATATTGCCCTTCGTGAAACTATGTTTTTTTTTATTTGATAATCTTTAATTATGCTAGCAATATTAATTAATTTAGTAATTAATTTAATAATTGGCTGCAGTTGTTTACTCATAACTTCCAACATTGTATCTTTAAATGTTTGTTTTCGGTAATAATTCTCGAAGCTTAGAGTTTCTCAAATTCGTACTGTATTGAGTTAACCTTGACATAAATACTTTTAGCTCTTTTAAGATAAATAAAACTAAGTACGCTCACACTATTAGCACCATATCTTGACCAAACTTACGTGCTTTTTGTCCATGACGAGCCGGAGTGTCGTTTGTCTGCCCTGCACTGTCTGCGTGTAATGTATTAAAGATGGTATCAGATATTGAGATGAATTGCACGAGCTTTCATTGTCAGCTGTGGGCAACATATGCATTTATAACTTGCTTACATGATAAAATTTTATCTTTGACTATATACATAAAATTAAAACTCCAATTGAAACTTCTCACTCCAAAAATTGGACAATTATGTTTGTCACACCCCCCCCCATCCGAATCAACCGCTTCTTTTAATTACTCCCACTTGAGGTAATTAATCCATTTAAAACACAACACCTATACCCATCATTAATCATCACAATATCAAGTTCCCTATCCTTACATTAACATTATCCCTAACATCATCCCTACATTTCTCTACTCTTAACACTTTTCCTTATACTATCCCTACACCGGTCGAACCTAAACCTAAACTTAGATCTAAACCGTAACCCCTCCATTTCCTTATACTTATCCCAAACCCTGACACTATCTTTATTCTTATTCTTACTTTTATCCATAACACTATCCATAACAATATCCATAACACTAAACATATCTCCACATTTACCGCTATTCTTATCCCTACTATACCTCTACCCCCCCCTCCACTATCAACTTTGGTTGGTAAAAGAAGCTCAAATGGTTTTCAAAAGTTCAGTTTAAACAATTAAAGTAATGCAGAGTTAGAAAAAGTATGATACGACACGTGAATAGAATGTTAAGGGCTGAGATATTTGGAAGCAGCTACTGACGAACCAGGTCCAGATTCTTCTCAGACCTTCAAGGCTCCACCCCCTCAGACCTTCAAGGCTCCACCCACTCAAACCTTCAAGGCTCCTCCTACTCAGACTTTCAAGTCTCCACGCACTCAGACATTCAAGGCTCCACCCACTCAGACCTTCAAGGCTCCACCCACTCAAACCTTCAAGGCTCCTCCTACTCAGACTTTCAAGTCTCCACGCACTCAGACATTCAAGGCTCCACCCCCTCAGACCTTCAAGGCTCCACCCACTCAAACCGTCAAGGCTCCACCCACTCATACCTTCAAGTCTCCACGCACTCAGACATTCAAGGCTCCACCCACTCAGACCTTCAAGGCTCCACCCACTCATACCTTCAAGTCTCCACGCACTCAGACATTCAAGGCTCCACCCACTACCTCAGCCATTATGGATGGTCATCAAGTTGTCAAAACTTTCTGCTGTACAAGTGAGCACACCACATGTTCAGTACAAAAAAAAATTCAAATCTGCATTTGTAATAAACCAAAAAAGTGTAAACGTTTTGTTCGCTGACAGGCTAACTTTATTCAAATAATACTTGCAGACGATGGCCGCATAGATTGGCGCTAAATTATTTTGTATTTTTTTAAAGAGAACGTCTGGTGGTATTTCTGACAGAAAGGCGTTGTGGTGGTAGAATAAACATAGATATAACACCTGGCTCCCCACATCTTAGCTCCACTCAGATATAACACCTGGCTCTCCACATCTTAGCTCCACTCAATTATAACACCTGGCTCTCCACATCTTAGCTCCACTCAGTTAAATATAACACCTGGCTCTCCACATCTTAGCTCCACTCAAATATAACACCTGGCTCTCCACATCTTAGCTCCACTCAAATATAATACCTGGCTCTCCACATCTTAGCTCCACTCTGTTAGATATAACACCACATCAGCCATTAGGGTGTTGTATACATGTGGCCTACAATCGCTTCCACAAATCCACAAACAAAAGGAAATAAATAAAAGCTTATAAAAAATACTCCGGATAGGAAATAAATGATTTGTTAAAATTAATTTAGTAATTAATGGTAAGATAGTCACATTTAAAGCGTAGACAAACGCCACTTGATTCCCCAAGCCCATACGAAGGTAATTGTAAGCACCGCCAGATTTGCCAAGCATAGAGCCGAGTTCAGCGTAGCACAGTGCGCCTGAGGTAAAACATAGACGTGAAAAGGAAAAAAAATAGCGGAAATATTTGAGAATAAAGTTTTCCAAAACCTATTTTTAATATTTTAGAATTAAAACTTGATTTTGCGATGTTTTTAATTTCTCGAAAAGTCGCAATTTAACAAAAAAAACTTTTCTATCTATAAAAGGGAAGACAATTTACTGCCAAGGGAGATGACTCCAGTCACCACCCAGACCACCAACACAGACTCACAGCACGCCTTTAGGTGAGATAAAGATAGCAGAACCTGGGTGTGGAGGAAGTTTAAAATATGTAAAAACATGTTTACGATGCTGGTCTAAGTAATATTGTAAAGATTTTGATTACATATCAAAAGAATGTTTCGTAACATTTTGTATAAGTCAGTCATTTAGATCCCATACTCGACCAATATTTACAGTAATATTTGCATGTCCTCAGATTACATAGGAACGATTTTTTTTTTCGTTAGGAAGAAAACATTCATTTTATCTTAATAAACAATTCCTTTTTAACTAAGGCGGCTGGGTGCAATTCTGACCACGCTATCCCTTCATATTCCGAGGTTTCCGAAGCAGATGAACTCTACTTTATCTGCCCCGTGTGTCTTGGGCACGAACGGGAAATGATGATAAAATATTTAAATAGTTAAGCTTCCTAATATGTTAGCATTCTCTAACCGATATCAACCAGTAGATTCAAAAGTTTTTTCGTCAAATCTGGTAACCGATGATGGAGCCCAACACGATGAACGCAGCTAACCTAACCTAAACCTAAACCAAAACCGAAACAAAAAAACATAAAACCGTAACCATAACCGTAACCGTATTTAAAGGCAGATGTATATCTATATATATAATTCTCTTCTGTGATCAGTTAAAAAACAAGCTGCAAGCGCGCCTTTGCAGTCCCCTCTCTTCCTCTCTATCACTATCACTACCACCCCCACCCCCACATGATCTGGTGAGCGGTGTTCACTCTGTTTACATTTTACAATCACAGAGACGGGTTTGGTGACGGCTATTAGGGGCAGATAATTTAGTTTGAAACGATTTTAAACTTAGAGGAGGTAACTAAGAGGAGGCTGCTTTCACGTGGGGGGGGGTAGTGTTTTTAAGCAAATATTTTCAATGGCAGCATTGGTACTGTCGAATTCACAAATTATAAATTACTGAAAAGTAAAAAAAAAACAACTAAATAGCGGCGTATGATACGCAGCGGGTCGGCTCGTATTAATTGTTTAGTAATACTTCTGGGCAACACTAGACCCTCCTTGTCTCTACGGCAGTGTTTCTTTCAGATTTTTTTTTCCCGGTTGGGGGGTACTTGACATTTTTAGGGGAGGGGGGTGGACTCAATTTTCCAGGGAGGCCGACACTTGTAGAAGGATATATTTTCTATAGAAATTATATTTCGATGTGGGGGAAGGGGGGACGTTCTTCCACATCTGTGGCCATGTTAGACGGCCAACATGTTGATGTAAACCTACCAAATGTATACGTGAGCCTACGTACTATCTGAACCAAAAAAAATCTTAATCTGCATTGGTAATAAACTTGAAAAAAAAAGTGAAAACTTCGCTATTGGTCGACTTTATTCAAATTATGCCCGTATAGGTTGGCGATAAAATACTCCAGATAAAAACTTGATATTAATTGTCAGCAGGGTTAGATGATACATTTTTATATTAAAGGAAATGTTTAGTTATATTTTTGAACGAAATGTGTTGTATGGATACAATAAGGTAAGGCTATATCTTAAAATAAATTTAAAAACAAAATAAAGTTCAATAGCGAAGTCATGCCGCTAATGATGCTAAGTATTCGTATAAATGTACACATACACAAATATGAATACAAAGATAAAATCATATACGTTTTTCAAATGCGTTTATACATTCACATACAAATATTAATACAGATACAAAGAAATAGAAATTGAAACATTTCTTTCGCATATATCTATCCCGTAAAAGCCCATCTGTCAGAAATGAAGGCTAGTCTTATCCATAAAGTAAAATGACGCCAAATATTTTTTTAATCAAATTAGAAGCTCTGTCAGGCGTATCCTAAAGAAAATTAAGCTATAACCGAAATAAATTTAGCTGTATAGCGCATTAAACTTTTCGATCGACATCGTAACCTATTTTCCTTGGAAGCCATGTTGTGAAAATTAAGTATTTACTCTATGATTAAAAGTGTGTTTATACAATTGAGTATATAATAAATGTTATTTTAATTTTTTAAATAAATGTGTTTATAGAATATTTTGAAAAAATAACATGTTTCTATACATAAATACTTAAAGTTCTACACATAGTGCAGATGCTCTGATAAAGGGAAACCGACAAGCAAGAAAAACAATAAACATAATTATACAAACTCCTGAATTTTAGAAGTTAATAAATATATCAGCGTAACTTAGCTAGTAGTGGCATTAGATGAAAATAATAAACCAGTAAGATGCATATTTTATCTGGTAACACCAGCATTGTAGAAGCTGTAATTCTTCTGATTCTGTTTTAATACAACTGGTTGAGATCCTACTAAAGACGAGCATGTCCATTCAAAAGAACAGTCTCAGTACTGAACACATAAATGATGAGAAATGTCAGTTAAATCCATTAGCAAGACGTAGTCGACCGATTGACAACACAAGTAATAAAACAGGTGTGTACTAAATTGTTACTAATACAATACTATATTACCTTATACACGACTACATATTTCAAAATTATTTTTGCTCTTTTATAATAAGCAATCACTATCTAGGAATTGTTTTTACGTATTTATGTATTCACATTAGAGAACGTTAATTTGTATGTTGTAGATGAGCTTGTAGATGTCACGTCCCCTATTAACATGTACTGAGAATGGTGTAGCTGTAGACATACACCACGAATTAAAATTATTTAAAGCATTGATGAGTTACTTTGTCATGTCAATATGCAAACAAATAACATAAAGTATTTACAGGGGCATCCCGGGTTTACCCCTGAGCACTATCGCGCCTACGTTCGTTTTAAATAATGCGATAGAATATGTATAAAATGGGATATTATAGTCTTCACTAAATCAAATCAGGCGCGTCCGCTGACGCCCAAAGCAGGATACGCTTTGGCGTTCCTGGCTATCATATGATTATCATGACCCTACAATATTAACTCGGTGGCATACGACATTCGGTGACGAAACCGAGCCAGGGGCCGTACGCGGCGCCCCTGCGGTAATGTAACGTGGGCTCACGAGACCGCCTCACTACGTCCCTGATACACGGGCGAGTGTTTTGGAAATCTAAGAACGTCTAAGAACATAGGATTGGTAACACATTGATGAAACCCTATTAAAATATTTCGTCAGAATTTATTCTGAGACCGCGGCAATGCAAATACGTACACACAAATAATTTAATAATTTTACAATTGTTATGGAAAAATGGATAAATCTAATTACTGATTTGTTTATTTGTTCAGGGTGGTTTGTTTCAGCATTTCTTGTGGTCAACGCTACATTAGGAGTCTCACTTTTGAATTTCCCTAAAGCCTATCACGAGGCTGGCGGGGTCGTAGCAGCACTCATTGTCCAGACAGTGAGTAGATCTTGTAAACATCCTTGCAAAAAACTTCTGGACTTAGATCGTGAAAACACATGTAAACATCATTGCAAAACACCAGTTTTATTTTTGATCCATTAAATTTACCTGTCCCGTAGTCTGGTAACCCTTTGATCTCAAACGGCCTCAGAGTTGCCGCCTGCCAGTATTATGGACATAAATGGGAAAACAATGTTTTTGTTTTTTGGCTTCATAGTAGTCTAAAAATAAGGTAAAGCTTAAAAAATTATGAAAGTTATAATTTTTAAATCCATGTTATCAAATTTGCAAATTGTAGGAATATTGAAAATATTTTTTTTCTCGAATAACGTTGCATTTCTATAATCCTGAATTTTTACGTTACATAGAAATAAAAGCAATGGTTGTTCTGGAAACTCCTCTTTGCACTCACAATTTTTTGAACAAATATTTTTAGTAAACTTATACTTTTAAGACCACTTGTCCTTTTTCCGCCTTCATTATAATAAATTTAAGCATCAACAAATGTTGTTTTCGGCTTTTTAAAATTGTCTTTATCAATAAACTCTGTTACGCTTTTAAAACAATTTTATCTCACACCTCCTCTTCGTGATACAGTGTCACATAAAAACAGACTCAAATTTCGCACAACCTCAGTCTACAACACCGAAAAATGGATATTACGCTTTATAAAATGTCTCTTGCAAAAGCAAAAAAATAAAAGCAAAAATACAGCTTTTAACATTACTTTTTTTTTCTGAACCATCCTCCCCTCTACCCTCGTCACACATCACAACTAACGTTTCATTTTTTAATGTTTTCAATTCACGTTCAGGTTTTCTTAGTGCTGGTGCTGTTTGCATTGTTCATCATCATCTACTGTTCTGATATAAAATGCTGCAACACCTACCAAGACATGGTGCTCTCTATATGTGGCCCTAAAGCCCAGCTAGCTTGTGCTTTCTGTATTTTACTGCACTGTTTTGGCATGTGCACAACGTGTCTTATTATAATACACGACCAATGGGAGTTGTGTGAGTCGACCTGTGTATACCATATGTTTAATTCTACCAAATAGTGTTTTTAGTGTATGTATTCACATTTATTTTCATAGTTTCACTTCTGTATTCATATATATATATATATATATATATATATATATATATATATATATATATATATATATATATATATATATATATATATATATAATGTTGGATAGTTAAATTCTTCTCGTTCTTCTAGTAAAGTTTTAATATATGCTAAACATAATCTCAAACAAGAGTTAGTTTAAGTATGGGAACGCAATAAACATCAAAAACGTTAATAACCTTGAAACATTGTTTTCAGTTTTCCTCAATGTGGCCCGTGAGCTCTACTGTACTACACATCCCTTCTACACGACAAGAGCTTTCATCATATCCGCTACATCTGTACTTTTTATACTTCCGTTATGTTTTACGAAGAGAATCGATTTTTTAAAACACTCCAGGTAAGTGCGGAAAACAAAAGAACAATTCAGAATGTTATAAACTTCTTTATCTGAGATAATGTTTAGGCTCTGAATATGACACACTATAAATTAAATAGCCTCACAAGCTGACCACTGTGGATGCGGTCTGCGCTGTATGATACAATTAAGGGGACGGGGTGACACTAAATCGAAAAACGTAAAATAATTCCAAAAATGCTTCATCCAGTTAGAATATAAAATACGGTAGTGGTGACACCAAAGTTTATGTAAGGGGTAAGATCACAGCCTCGGCTACCGCACCGTTTAACCCCTGACCTTGAGACTACACTGAACATTATTACGTGATCTGATTAACGCAATTTAAAAATTTTAAATCACAAAGTAAGCAGACATTTTTTTTTCAATTTGTTTTTTAATTTCTTTTAGCTTCCTGGGTGTCATCGGTTGCTTATATATAGCAGTTCTTGTTGCTGTCAAGTATTTTCTACCTCATGATAATCAAGGAAAAATTGCTACAGCGTATGTTAAAATTATGTTACAATATATATATATATAGCCTCTACGTGTAAGATTACATTCGATAAAATTATATTTATGTTCAACAACAATCAAAGTTGTGCTTAACAAAGAAACAGGCATCCACCACTTTGCTTTTATAAAGTAGAATATTATAAAGCAATTTTTGTGTGTTTAGCCCATAAAGTGCCATCTAAATGTCACTCTTAAATACGAAGAAAGTTTAGATGAACTCAATCCCACTTTATTTCAATTGATGCAAATTTCTTTAAATTTCCAGCCCGCATTCATGGATAGATGTTTTTCTTGTTGTACCAAATATTTGTTTTGCCTATGCTGTAAGTCTGTCGTTCTTGGTGTATTATGTGTGTTAGGTTGTTGTTAGTGCACATGTGGCAATAAATTTTAAATAATTTTGTAGTATTTAATTCTTTTTAAACGATTCGTTGTTTGTTCTGATGGTCAGTCTGGATATAACATCTGTTTTCATAATGACCAGATGACAAATTAGTCTGCTGTGTATCTCGTGCTAAAATTATCGTTTTGTAATTTATCACAATATCACCAATGAACTTGTAAAAAAAATTGCTAATTAAAGACTATGTAAAAAAAATGTCATTACTTCAGTGCCACGTCACCATTATCCCCATCTACTCCTGTATGGCCAAGCGCAACATGAGAGAGCTCTCTAAAACAGTAACACTTGCCGTCATAGTGTGTATCATCATCTACACAACTACTGCAACTCTGGGCTATCTACAGGTGTGTTTGGTTTTCTTGATAGTATTCTACGATTGGTAAAAATAATGTTCGAACATATGTGTGCATGGATACATCTGTGGTTTCACTCACCATACAACATACACAACTTAAGTATGCACTCACTAAAACATAGTGCAGTGTGTTGATGATTATCTATGTTTTATTAATATTTTCCAGTAAGTGTTTTTATACATTCCGACAGTTTGGTGACGTTATCACAAATGACATACTGCTGTCGTTTAACCCTACAGCTGAGGTGATGGTGGCTGTAGTTCTTGTTGCTGTGAAAACATACACCACATATCCTATTCTCTGTTTCTGTGGAAAGTAGGTCTCGTTAGTTATTATGATGTGTTGAGTTTTACATTAAAACGTTGAATTAAATCTATATTTAAGACAAAGTGTTCGGATGCCGATTAAGGCATTTGTCGGTTCCACGGGCACTTCAAATTTGGCCTCGGGCCAGTAGAATACGGGGGCGAAAACCAATCGGCTACCAAGTCCATGAGTTTGTGAAAACTGACGTCGACTGACAATCACCTTATATGAGCATTATATCGAAAAAAAGAATATGATAACTCCCGAGGTCGTAGAACGCCCAGCTGGGATCACACAAAAAACGGTGTTTCCTTCGGGAAAACTTCGGAAGGTGACCAGTCCGAATTAATTATATAAACAATGTTAAATTGATCAAATATGATGACTATTTAAAAAAATACTTTTAGGGAACTGTGGATATGTAAATCTGGCTATTTTGTTCCATAGGCCTGGTAAATGACCCGACTTTATGGAAAAACTATCGATTAGCCTCTACTCGCTCGACGATGGCTAAAAACTGATGGCCTATTTATTAAATCAGACAAGAGAAAAAAGAAGGAAATCTCTTGGTTAATGATTAAAATATTAATTTTTCGTTGCAAATGTTTGTTTTAAATTACAAATAGTGCTAAATTTAGTATAGATGTGATTTTTACACGGCTTATGTAAAGGATTATTTTACTCAAAAGTTATTCCTAAACCTACGCAGCATGCCTAAAATAAAATACAGAGCAGTACTTTGGTAAACTAAATCATCATCGTTTTTCATTAGAGTCCACGACACATTGGAGCTGATGAAGTAGCTTTTATCTGTTTCAGCGACCTTGGCAAATAAGAGATCGTGTGATCAGCACTATGCCCAGCGGGCTTTATTTTCCGTCAAAATGAGTTAGGTACCCATTAGAGACTTTCGTGTTCGCAATCTAGTGCTCTAGCCACGCCGATCCATGATAAAATAAATGACATGCTATCGTTAATTATGAGAATTTCATAGAACACTGTTTTCTCTATTTATGTTTCACTAACTGTAAAGATTTCTATTATCTTTCATTTATTCTATACATATCTCAGGGCAGCTTTTGAAACCATGTGGGGAATGTTCTGGAAAATGGGCGCTGAAGAAATTGTGAACAGAGAAAAGACGAGACGCATTATAACTACATTGGTGTGGTTCGCCTTGACCCTCCTACTGTCCATCTTCATACCCAACATTGGGGTGATCATACAAATCCTAGGAGCCGTTATTGCATTGTTAATCTTTGTATTTCCAGGTTAGTTTTTTTAATATATTCAAAAAATTCTTTATAATTAGACAATATACAAATGTATTTCGAAACTTTAAATAAATTTTCCTAATTTCATATTTCAGTAACAAATACGGCTACATGTGATAACATATACAGTCAATATTTTTTTTTTTGTTTCTCTATATTTTCTGCCTCTTCTTCAACTGTTTTTTTTTCCACATAACTTCTTTTTTATTATAGTGATGTGCACTACATAGTTCTATAATAAATACATTGTGTGTGCGTTTATTTTTCTCCGTTCCTTCTTGAATACACGAAACAAACTTAAAATTGTATTCATATAATAAGAAAATCGTTACATTCTCTTGGTTTTGATGGACATTTCTTTTAGTACCATATTAAAATTTAATTTACATGCATTATTTTTTTTGGCAGGCTTGTGTCTGTTGAAGACGATACAAAATAGAGTAGAATTAGGCGAGGAACAGCCCACAAAAGTTCGAGTATTGAAAGGGATTGGCATTGCTTTTGCTGTTCTTGGTGTGCTTATTTTTGGACTGACGTTGTCGCAGACCATTATGAAAGACATTCAGGGCGTCAACCCCGACTCGTCCAAATTCACATGTAGCTAGTTGCTAGAGTTATTGCTATGATATTTTGTGGCTAGCCTCAAAGTTGTTTATTCTATGAGACTTATTTATGTTTGTTTTGGTATCATTCAACGTTACCTTATTGAATATGCCATTAATTTTTCATGTGTTAAGCTAAAATCTTTATTTTCCAATTAATAAGAATCACCTTAGCATTGTGAATTTTAAATTATAATTCCATATGAGAAATATATACTGTATTAAATACGTATATTTATGTATTCTATTATTAGAATAAAATTCATGAATTATGGAAGGCTCTATAGAAGATATTAAACTTTAGTCAAACTTTATCGCAGATAAAACAAACTGTTCATTTAATTTTCAAAGGTTATCATTGGCTTTTGGACAGATCAAGATGTATAATGCCATTGGAATTAGAGTGGAGATTTTTCTATAAACAGGATGTTTTTGTATTGTGTTTTTTTATAAGCTTCTTGCATTTTCTAAAACGTAGTTATAATTGAGCCTGAGAAAAGAGCTTAAGGTTACAAAACGTGTTTATTAAAGTAACGTTGAGTTGTTTTTTTCTTATTCTACCAAGTCCATGTTATTTATGTTTTAGAAAGCTACTTAGCAATTCAGGTAGTTAAAAACGAAATTTGCACTTTCCAACCTGGCAGATGAAGTAGTGTTCACCTTTTTATGCGACTTCAGCATATGTATGGACAGTATGATCAACAGTATGCCGTGAGTACCTAGCAGAACTTGTTGAACTCAGGGTCTACGGTATTGTGCCGAATTTGAGATAACTGGGTTAGCAGTCAAACGCTCTACCGCCCGGATTAATTTTTCCTACTACAAATTATGTAATGAATATTTAATTTCACGAAAACGAAGTTTGAAAAGATGGTCGATTCCTAATAGACTTATGCCCCGACTACGAAAAATTCTCGAATTGATGTTTGCCCGAATACAACTATTGCCAAAATGAATGGTACAAGAACAAGAGAAGCGAGATAGGGTCGTATGTGTAAACAAAAACCGAGAACAGTTTTTGGTAGAAAATGTTTATTCAATAAACTTGGGTGGTGGACATACACGTAACAACAGCTGACCGTATGTGACCAGTCGATCTGAATAAGAGAAAATGTATAATATTTTAAAGATGGTGTTATTATTATCGTGAAATTAACTATGACATTTCACCATTAAAAAATCGATCAGATATTTAATACTGAAAATAGATAAACACAATAACGCTTACCGTAACATGGAAAAGATAACCGGAAATATATAAATGGTATGTAGAGGGCCGCCCCCACGCCCAGCCCGCCCGCCGCCACGTAGACATACTCCAGCTTGGGGTTGATGGCCAGTGGCGAGATGAACAGGTACAGGTTGGTCAGTAGCATTAGGATAGGGATGACTAGTGGTACCTGGTGACATAAGGATAGGAATGACATAAGGATAGGGATGACCAGTGGTACCTGGTGACATGTTAAGAATGATACATAGCAAAATAAAAATAGTCATAACCATCGGTCAAACAACTTAACTTAACCCCTCACTCACCCGTACAGTTCCCTGCACGTGTTTCATCGTCTGCAGCCTAAACCTCAGCATGACCAGGTAAACACAGGTGTCAAAGAACGAGATGATGAACCCCAGGTAGTTGATGATAGACCCAACATCTGCTGGAGCCAGGTAGATAAGGGCCAGAGCCGCCTGATCAAGGGGAAACTCAACAATGTTTTATCTTACATACACGGTATTTTTAAAATTATAACCATCGTTTGTCAATGATAGGATATAAATTTATTTGCATTTGAGCAGCGTAATTAAAATATTTATATATAGCCTTAATTTAGCCTTAATCTCAAAACTGTTTTTGAGTTTAAGGCTACATTTCTATTCATTTTTATCAAGCTTTATTCATAGTAATTTGTTTAAAAAACTTTGCCTGTACAATTTTTTAATAAAATTAATGTTCTTAAAGCGCATGACCTAGTTCAGCCATGTTTGTTGTCAATTGCAGTGATAAAATGTACTAAACAAATTGTTTTTGACTTTTTTTTAAGTTTTCATAATTACCAAAAAATATTAAAAACATCAATTTACATACAATCTTTTATAAAGTCAAACACAAATCAGATTTTTATAACCATACTTATTTTAATAACATCGTGTATGATCTTTTATTTATTTTTTGTCCAGCAAATATTACTTAGTTCTAGAATCTAAGATTCTACGTCCCTCTAGTTTATTAGTAAATAATTTCTTTACATTCTCAAATTAGAAGATCGGTCAACAAATCGTATTGAAAACTGACAATATTTTAGAAACCTAATAGAAAGATAATGTATTATTAAAGCTATAGCCAAAAGAGAATAATGCGTTATAAGGCAATCAACTTTTTTTCAACGTTGTCGTGTTTACATTGGACGCCATGTTAGCCTTGGAGGCAACCATTTCCTCTATATTGAACAAATTAACCAATTCTTCTTGGTAATTCCATGTGTGTTTTTAAATTCAATATAGATCCTACTTTTATAAACGTCTTTAAATATATTTTAGTTAATGAATGCTGTGTAAAAAGAAAAATATTTTTTCTAAATAAGTACACATATTAAGATTCTACACATACTGCATAATTTTTTACAAATATATAAATAAAATAAATATCAAAAGCCTATATATAAATATTCAAACCATTAGACCCTGTTAAGGTTAAGGTGTATATAGCTGAATTAATTTTATTTGTGACGAGCGTGGAGTCGAGTTTCCTTACCGTCAGCATCATGGCTGTAAGTGGCGTCAGCTGATCGATCTGGATGTAGCTGAAAAATTCTGGGAAGTTTTTGTCCCGGGCAGCGGTGTAAATCAACCTGGAAAATAGAAGTAATACTCTAACTCATACTCAAACGATAACAAAATAACAGCAGTAGAATCACAACAACAAAACCATAACCGAACAGTAAAAACACAGAAAAAGCAATAACAAGCTAACAACACCTAACCTGTTGCCGCAAAACATTTTGTTGTTAGCTGACCCCAAAATTGCCACCATAACAGCAAGGGGAATAACTATTGCAGCTGTGCCAAGAACTCGATTGCCAAAAACCTGTAAATATTATTATTATTTTTTGGCACAAATTAAATGTAACGACTAAAAATGCATCTACTTAATGAAATAATGTAAGACTGAGCATTCGGTTTTGAAAACCTGCAAACGCATATTTGTGTTAGTAATACACTCTGGTAACAACACTCATAATAACTGTCGTTTTATTTTTTAAAAGGGTAACTATAATTAGAATGAAGGTACCACAGCGACTGCCTCGGCATTTAACATTTCATCTTTGGTCATGACGGCCAGATAGGAGACGTTGGTCAGTGTGTAGACCACGATGACCACAAGGATGCCCAATATGGCGGCCAAAGGAATGTTTCTAAAAACAAAATATAGGAGATGTTGGGGCTATTAGGTTACAGTCAAGTTATGATAAAAACACAGGTAATCAAATAGTACTGTATAAAGGTTTTAGTTTTATAGGGCTGGTAAGTATGTCACCAACCAGTTCTACGGCTCAATAAAACCTGCATGAGCCATAGAACTGGTTAATGACCTACTTACCAGCCTTATAGGAATCGCTGTATAATTTTTGTGTTAGAAATAGTTTGAGAAATTAGGGAAAGAAAGATGCGTAGATAAGTGTTACGGCTTGGTTTGTAGTCTTGCTTGTGGTTAGGGTACAGATACTACCAACTAACCGGTACAAGAAATCAGCTTTGGTTAAATTTTGCCTAACGTTTACCGAGTTGACCATGGGAGCTGTGTGTAATGTATAGGACATGCGTTACCTTGCCGGATTCTTGACCTCCTCTGCCACCATATTAAGATCTTCCCTGCAAGATATAAATTTATTTATATATTCGGTCTATCACATTCAATGATTTTTTAAGAGTACCGAGTAACATCTTTTCACTGTAAGTGCATATAAGCTTTTCTAGTTATTTTGTCTCATCCAAAATCGTTTAGATCGTTATAACACGTCTTTATTATTTCCACATAGTTAAACACATTCTATCAAGTCTGAATTTTTTGTAAAAAAAAAAAAAAAAAACATGTAATATGAAAAGCATTTTAACAAATACTAAAACGTTGTATAAAATTTAAAACAGTTTCTGCTCGATAGATCAGAACACGGTCTTGCTTGTACATGTTATAAAATGTGTACAAAACATCAACAATGACCCACCCTCCTCTGGTAGCCCACAGAGCACTGTACAGTGCCATGGCTAAAGACGAGGGGTCAGTGGAGGTTCCAGAGAAGGCGGTTCCCAGCTCACTCGTGGTGCCTGTTAGAAAACAAATGGTACTAAATGGGGTTACAGAGCGTAAACATATTTATTTGACCATAAAACAAAACACGTGGTAAAAGCGAAATAAACAATCATTACCTATAAACAAAATCACGAACAGTGCTATGTGAATCATAGCAAACATCACGTGACACATCCAAATCAATATCAACGTAAACATTTTATTGACGTCCAAATCGATATAGACAACCATTTTGCGCATTGTTTGCAACTACAATGTTTTCATTGCATAAGTCACATTTTAACCGACATCTTAACTTTTTAGCATTATACTATGTAAAAACAAAATAGGAGAAAAAAGCAAATGGTACACAGCTGTAGAACCTAGATCGAGTACTTCATAGCATTTGTTTCCCAAATGTGTTTGTTTGTTTTTGTCCGTCTATCTAAGCGCTAGCTGTTGTTTTTTCTCGGATGTAGTGCAGAAGTGAGATGCTTAAAAATATATTTTTAACAATCAACATGGTTTTTAAAGCGTGTTCTTGGCCCAACTGAAGAGTCTCTAGCTTTCACTGCATATGCTAGTACATTTACATTAGAAAAGACGTGACATGGTAACTGAACGGATACTGTTCAGCCACTGTCACCTTGACACATGTGGACATAGTACAGACACCTGGACACCTGGTCCTACCTTGACACATGACCACGACGCCACCAACAATGATGATCAGAAGTGTCGCCACTTTACACACCGTCGTCAGCACAGTCACGTTTGTGGCTTGACGCGTGCTGTAGCCGTTGATCAGGACCAGCGTTACTATGGATACAGGATCAGCGTTACTATGGATACAGGACCAGCGTTACTATGGATGTACTATGAGTTCATGAACAGGGGAAGTAAGCAGATAAAATGTAAGGTAGCAAAATTAATTAATTAAATTAATTATCAGAATGAGGGAGAGCACGTATAAAATGGCCAACCACCTCACACCCACTCCTCATTTCCTTGCTACCCTCACCAAATCATCAACTCAACACACCATCCCCAACCTCAACCACTCTACAGAGTAAACACCAGGTAAACATCTGACCTAGCACAGTGGCTGTGATGAGTTTCTCCAGGTAAACAGATGTGCCACAGGTGGGGAAGAGGGTGACCAGGTACTTGGAGAAGGTGAGCAGCATTACAACCAGAGTTGCAGGTGCCCTGACGCATACAGTCTGCATAGAAAGATAAAATGGGTACATAAAGTAATAATATACAAACCTGACTTCAATGGTTGATGTGAATGCAAGAAGAAATCTAGTACATATTCTAAAGAATACCCTTTAACTGGCATGAAATATATCAACAATACAATAAATACATCGATTTAATAAACTATAAAAAGTGTCAATATTTTGTTATAATAAATCAAAATACAAAAAAAACTATGTAAAAATATAGAATGAAGCGACTTTTGATCTGAGAATCTGCAAAAAAAATTGGTGACTCTTCAACTGAATACAAGTTTAGAATAAAACGTATATTTTTATTTTAAAAAAAACGTTGTTATAATAAGCTTTTAAATGCACTAAAATTTTAAAAAATAACACAAACTAGCATTGTTTAATAAAAGCATATTCACTAAAATGTGTAAACAATATGTGCGACCAGTGTTTTTATTAAAGGAATAGGGTTCATTTTTTACTCCATAAACCTATAAACAAATAACCAGAAGTTACAAAATAAATAAATAAGCTTATAAAAATACTCCTGGTGATAACTTGGCTCACTAATATTAATTAAGTGATTAATTGTAATGGAAAGATAATCACAAATAGCGCATGGAAAAACGCCACTTGATTCCCCAAGCCCATACGAAGGTAAGTGTAAGCACCGCCAGATTTGCCAATCATCGAGCCGAGTTCAGCGTAGCACAGCGCACCTGGTGAGATAAAACAAATTAACCAGAAAACATCTAAACAAAATGTGGATTGAAGTAAAAATTAAAGTGTTTTTAACGTTTTGGTAGTTACACTTAATTTTACAGCACTTTTAATTGCTAGAATAGTCGCAATGTTTTAAATACTTTAAGTTACAAAAAAACGAGACAACTCACTGCCAAGGGCTATTACTCCAGCCACCACCCAGACGACCAAACACAGACCCACAGAGCCTGACGCTGCCAGCACGCCTTTAGGTGAGATAAAGATGCCAGAACCTGGGTGTGTAACATAACTTATGGTTTTTTTTAATTGGGATAAAAGTAGCATTATAGATACGTCCCTCCCTCCCATAATCAGTCATGTACCCTAGGTATTTATTATCAAAATTTCCATATCTTTAAATTATTGTATTATTCAAATACTAGCAATTTGGACCCATACTCGACCCAGATCTACAGTCTACTTGTTACCTCAGTACCTGTGTGAAAACCTTTAAGTAATATTTAACATCAAGCAGTTCAGCAATTCAACATGTATATTCTATCTATACATCTACTTAAATATTTAATACAACGCTATTTAATACTCCCAGCATGTTATAGCTTATATCTGTTACCCACCATAAACGATTAATTTGAAATCAATCTTTGATCAGATCTGATCACGTGACCTACCTATGATAGAGCCCACCACGATGGACGCAGCGACCACCAGACCCATCTGTCGTTTCAGTTCCACCTTCTCTACCCCCACCTCACTGTTTGATTTTCCGCCCTTAAGAAAACACTTCATTAAAGGATCTAAAATTTAGTTTCAATTAAAATTTACAAAAACATTAGATTAAAGGTTTTAAAATTTTCGTTTAACTTAATTTAAGTTACTACTTGACTTTTAGCTCTAATTTGTTTTTCTCCACTAGGGTGGAAATTTAGCTTAAATTAAAATGACAAAAAATGCGTGAAAACAAAATGTTCTAAACATTCTATAAAAAAAACTTAAAATGTATATAATTTCTTGTAATTTTTTTTCACTAGACATAATTACTTGACTAAAAGTTCTAAAAACTAAATTTTGAAAATGTAGTTCTGATTTAAAACGAATAATTTACATTTGTATTTGTTTTGGGTTTATGTTATCAATGGTTTTCTCTAAAAGATGTATTGCCCTTCGTAAAATTATGGCTGCATAGTAAAGTTATAATATTTTATCTAGTTTTATCTAGTTTTATCTAGTTTTATCTAGTTTTATCCAGTGTTATCGAGTTTTATCTAGTTTTATCTAGTTTTATCAAGTTTTATCTAGTTCCATCTAGTTTTATTAATTTTAGCTGGTTATTATTTCTAGCGATTAATTTAGTAAATGAACTTAGCAGCTATTTAGTTTTAATAACATTCAATAGTACAGCTTAGCTCAAATGATTGGTTTCAATAATACGATTTGAGTTTTTTTTAATTATTTCTATATAAATATTGACAGAAATAATCTAAAATTATTTTAATGTCAACAAAAATAAGTAGACTCAAGCCACAACCACCAGATTTTAAGAAAACTTACCTGTTGTGTGTCCATGATGAGCGGTAGTGTCGAAGGTCTGACCTGCATAGTATGTATGTATGTATGTATGTATGTATGTATGTATGTATGTGTTAAATATGTTATCCGATATTGAGATGAATTGCACCAGCTTTCGTCAGCAGCTGGTAACAACGAATGTATATGATTATATTTTTTTTCTTGAATATTCCGTATACGATAAAGTAGAAAAATTTTAATTTATTTATTATTCGGGGATACGCCGCAAACGATGGTCGCATAGATATTCTGCAAAAAACCTGATAGGTGTCTACAGTAAATGATCTGGTCTTTATTATAAAGAGCGTTGTGTTGGTAAAAGGTAAAGTGTTATTTTTTATTAAATTTTAAAACTAAATCTAATAAGATAGCGAGGTCAGGTATTTGATGATGATAAAAGTACGGATAAAGATACACAAACTCAAATAAAAGACAATGATAATACACAGTGAACATAAATGTATTGTTGATAAAGTTTACATAAACTCAAATATTAGTAAAGGCATCCAATAGGTACTAAAGTGGCCCACGCTTTTCTTTAGAGTTATTTAAATAGTAGTGTATAATTTATTTTCTACTTTTTATTGCATTATTACATAAAAGCTTGTTATCAAAACGTTTTTTATGAAAAAAAAATCTGTTTTTGTTAGAACAGCTTTAGATCATAAAATGACGATCATTCCCAATCAAGGGAATGAACTCAAGTCTGAACAACCTTACAACGAAAAGAGTCAGTTAACGTCACTATCAGGATGTCATCTACCCACTGACGGCACAAGTAAAAAACCAGGTACGTCATACAAATAGTTACAAATGTAATATTCTATTTAATCCATATTTTAAATATTAGATTTGCTCTTTTAAAATAAGCAAAGTTAATCTATTTATTTGCATTAGAAAACAATAATTCTCAGCTTATAGGATGGCTTGTAGATGTTGCATATAATTAATATGTAAGCTAATTTTACTGTGCTAAATACATAACACGATTTAACATTATTGAATTATTATTTTATCACTTTAGCATGTTAACATCCTAATATATAAAAGCCAATTTGCGCACTTTTCTTGAGGCTTTGTGAACAGTAACTTCAGTTATAAATAGAGAATGTAAAGATACGAACTTTTGTTGAAAAAAATATGTTGGATGTATTAAATGTATAAACTAAAGTTTATCTAAAAAGGAAAATAAAAATAAGTGCATATTCGAATGCAGAAACACATTTTTTTTTATTATGCAACAGGAACAGTGTTTACTGTTCTGACAAGAACGCAAATAACAATGAGGTCACATGTCACATGTTTAAATTACGGAAAGTACACAAAACTAACGGCGTCATCTTCTAATTTTAGAATATGAAGAAATGAAATATGTCATTCAAATTCGATTTTAGATCTATAAATCTACTTATCAAGAAGTACGCTATGAAACGTTTGCAATTTTCTTAGCCAAAACCAATACAAATTACTTTTTTTTTTAAAACAACATAAATACCATTGAACAGCCGGTTTTTATCGGAATTATTTAAGCCTCTTAATCAGTGTGTGCATTTAATATGGTGTTGTGTTGACTAACAATGTATATAATTTAGTTTTTCTTATAGGTACTGGACGTTTATGTTATGTTTAATGTGTTGGGTTTTTAGATATTTAGTCACTTCTTTGCTTTGTCGTTCAGAGTGTAGTTAAGCACATTGCTTTTAGACCAATAACTATTTTATAAAATATTTTTCTAAAACAAGTATAACATTAAAATATATAAGCTTATAATTCACGTGTAACGGGTACCGACGGCTAGTTTAACAATAAACAAGAATGTTTAGGGGAGATCACTCCCGCTTAATTTACAAAATTAAAACTTGAACCGTTACCCTTTGACCTAGGCAAGAAATGTAAGCTGTAAAATAAAGAAAAAGTATTAAGTATAAAATACTTAATTTTGTTGTTATCTCTTTGTTCAGGATGGTTTGTTTCAGCATTTCTTGTGGTCAACGCAACATTAGGAGTCGCACTTTTGAATTTCCCTAAAGCCTATCACGAAGCTGGCGGGGTCATATCAGCTCTCATTGTCCAGTCTGTGAGTAGATTGTGTTAACACACACAAGATTACTTTCAGACGCCGCTAGATTATGTTTTAATTTCACATTTCGGTTTCACAGAATATATGATGTCTTTAAAACCTAAAAAGTACAGCGAGGCAATAAACCCGTACTAATGCAAACCTGAAAAGTCTCGAGTTCGAATTTTAGGTTCAAGTCAGTAGCACATCCGTGACTCACGATAAGGAAAAAAAATGGTGGCTGGGCAGTCTGCTGACCACATCATCCCCTTGTATACCTAGGTCATTGAAACAGATGAACTCTAATTCGTCAGCCCCATGTGTCTTGGGTACGAATGGGAAAAGATGAAAATATTTTAAATATGCAACAGGCAAAATCAATAAATTATATATTGGTCATCTAGTAATTTTAAAAACAAATGCCGTAGAGCATATACATAATTTGAGTTAATGTGCCACATTGTTTTACATCGGCTCAAATTGCTTCACGTGATTCTGCATCGTTTCATATATTTTCAGATTGTTTCACGTTGTTTCATACCGTTTCACATTACTTGAAACTTACATTAAAATAAGAGCCATTTTACCATCTCCGTTCCTTCGAACCAATGCGAACAATGCAGACTTTAATGGAGATAAATTGCACAATGAAAATTTCAATCTGGGGTTGGGGGCCCCTTTTAAAATGTCCTGGGCCTCTTAAACACAAGTCCACCCCAGTATATATATCATCATTATCTTTCCTGTTCGTGCCCAAGACACATAGTTACCGGTTGGATGATGACAAGTACTGTTGACATGCAGACTATTGGGAGAAGTCTGTTAACACTAATAGCGTAGTTCTTTAAACGGTAGTTCTAAAATAGTAAGCTAAATTTTAAATATTGAGTATTATTATTTACTAGTGTTAGTATTACTTGTTTATTTAAATATGTTGTTTGTTTTTTAAACATGTATCAAAAGAAATTTTCGTTTTGCAATATTTTATTTGCAACGAATGCTGGAAATTTACCTAATTGACTTCATTAAACTAGAACATATAAAAGGTTGGGTTTTCGCATTTTGATAGAAACAAGATAACACAGTCTCAAGTACCATCACACAAAGAGGTTGAATCCAAGTGAATAAGTGACATCTGGTGTTTGCATTACGTCTCTCAAATAGAAACAGCTGCATACATATTTGTAAAAAAAAGCATTTTTGAAAAATAACATGTTTTATTAATGAGAACTTCATAATTATATTGCAATGTTTCTGTTCGATCAAACAAAAGACTTTTTTCTGGCATATTTACAAAGCTGAGTAAATTGATCAATGTTTATGACAATACTTTATATAAGAAAGTCTTTTAAAACCTCAAAATATCAGCTAAAATTCAATTATGAACATAGCGTTTTAAAAGCTAAGTAGTGTCGCCCCGATTCTTCACAAACACTCAAACACCCAAAGCCACTCCTTCTTCGAAATGTGACGTCGTGTATTTACGAAGCCTTAGTTGCCGAAAATAGTAAAACATAAAACATCTTTAGTAAAGTAAGAAAAAAAAATAACATTTGAGTGTTTTAACCACTTTATTAACTAACTCCGCACACGATTTTTAAAATAATTAATATTATCTTTGAGACTGTTCACATGGTCTATAGTCGCGTTGTTAGCCTATTGCCACCCTTTCACCTTTTAAAATTCTGCTCTTGTCAATTATTTTATTTATTTTTCTGTAGTGTTTTTTTTTACTTTCTCGTATACGAGGTATAGAGGAAGTGTTGTAATCGTGCAAAAAAAATCAAGATTTTCACAGATCTCGACGTTTAACACCTCACTGAGTCGTAAAAACCAAGTTTTGCAATTTTGTCCGTATGTCTGTGTGTGTGTGTGTATGTGTCTGTGAACACGATAACTTGAGTACCGTTAAAGCTAGGTTGATGAAATTTCATATATAAGTATTATATCGAATTTGTAGTTGTGTATCAACTTTTCAGCGATTTCCGATAACCGGAAATGGAACTTATTCTAATTTTAGTTTTTCAAAAGCCTATAACTTAAGTACTGTTTCAGAAAATTAAACGAAAAAAGTATAATTTCTAATTCTCTCCCTTCTGTAAAATTTTTTAGTGATTTCCGTTGATCGGAAGTAGTAATTTACGCTATTTCCAATTTCTCAAAAAAAAACGCATATGAATTTATAAAGAACTAATAATACTCTGCACTATTATACACACAGTGTGTGCTGTTCACTTGGTGCGCAGTTCTTTTTTCTACTATATTTTATTCTATTTTTTAAAAGTTTAAGTAACTAAAAATGGATTAAAAATCATGTCTAAATCCCGAGTTGCCATCCCCCGTAGTGTTATATAAGAATATTCGAGTATGTTTTAGGGACATCACTCCCGGTTTATTATTTTTGGCTTCTTTTTCTATTGCCTAACTCATGTACTTTGGTATGAGTATAATCGGACATTTCGATTAATAATTTTACGATATAAACCTGCTTAGTTTCCTTTCCATATTTACTTCCCCTTTTCATCAGTGATAGGATTATGTTGTAATTTGTTTATTGCAGGGGTCTCCAAACTTTTCAGTCCGAGGGCCGCATTAACTATCAATTTTCAGTTCGGGGGCCAGTTTCTTCCAGGCATGTCTTTGATGTTCTAAGCAAAGTTCCTCAGCCATTAACAACAAAAGTTTTTTCCGCGGGCCGGATGAGAGGACCTCGCGGGCCGCATCCGGCCCGCGGGCCGTAGTTTGGAGACCCCTGGTTTATTGAATACATTTTTAAATTTTCGAATTTTACGTCCAGGTTTTCTTAGTTCTCGTGGTGTTTGGCTTGTTCATTATCATCTACTGTTCTGACATCAAGGGAAGCAACACCTACCAAGACGTGGTTCTCTCCCTGTGTGGCCCTAAAGCCCAGCTGGCTTGTGCTGTCTGTATTTTGGTTAACTGTTTTGGCATGTGTACAACCTGTCTTATTATAATACACGACCAATGGGAGTTGTGTGAGTTATATATTGGGTCGTTGGTGTATTCAGAATTTAACAACCAATATCATGTATCTATTTATATATATATATATATATATATATATATATATATATATATATATATAATGTGTTTGTTTTTGTAATTATTTATTTATTTATTCATTTTATATATACATATATATACAGAGGCGTAGCGACCCTTCCCGGCGCCTGGGGACAAACTTTTCGATTTGCACCCCCCCCCCCTCGAGATTTCGATTTGCACCCCCCCTCAAACTTTCGATTTGCACCCCCCCCCCCCTCGAGATTTTGATTTGCACCTTCCTCAAACTTTCGATTTGCACCCCACCCCCCTCGAGATTTTGATTTGAACCCCCCCCCCTAAAACTTTCAATTTGCACCCCCTCAACCTTTCTGTTTATTTTTCCAACCCATTTTGGCGCCCCCTAAGCTCGGCGCCCGGGGACATGTGTCCCCCCCCCCCGCCCCCCCCCCTCTCGCTACGCTACTGTATATATATATATATATATATATATATATATATATATATATATATATATATATATATATATATATATAGGGAACAGGGCATTTCCCCCCTGTCAATTACCCCCCAGATATTTCCCCCCCCCCCCGACATTACCCCCCAGAGTAATTACCCCCACTGTCAATTACCCCCCTGTCAATTACCCCCCGCCCAGTAGGACATTACCCCCCGGACAGGGTTAGAGTTAGGGTTAGGGCTAGGTTTAGGGTTAGGGTTAGGGCTAGGGCTAGGGTTAGGGTTAGGGTTAGGGCTAGGGCTAGGGTTAGGGTTAGGGCTAGGGTTAGGGTTAGGATTAGAATTAGGATTTGGATTTACATTTGGATTTGGATTTGGATTTGGATTTGGATTTGGATTTGGATTTGGATTTGGATTTGGATTTGGATTTGGATTTGGATTTGGATTTGGATTTGGATTTGGATTTGGATTTGGATTTGGATTTGGATTTGGATTTGGATTTGGATTTGGATTTGGATTTGGATTTGGATTAGGGCTAGGGCTAGGGCTAGGGCTAGGGTTAGGGTTAAGATTAGAGTTAGGGTTAGGGCTAGGGTTAGGGTTAGAGCTAGTGTTAGGGTTAGGGTTAGGGTTGTGTCTAGCTTTGGTTTTGGTTTTGTGTGAAGTTTTAGGCTAAGGTGGATGCTTAGGTTTTGGTCTTTTTCTTAAGGTTTGTATTAAAGTAGTATATAGGTATACAATTCTAGTTAGAGTTAGGATTTTAACTTGAAGGGGGGGGGTAATTCCCCGGGGGGATAATTGACAGGGGGGTAATTGCTCCGGGGGGTAAATACGGGGGCGGGAAATGTCCGGGGGGGAATATCCAGGGGGGTAATGTCCTGTAGCTATATATATATATATATATATATATATATATATATATATATATATATATATATATATATATATATATATATATATATATATATATATATATTATAGATAGTAGATTTGTAGCCCCAGGAATGTTAAAGATTTGATTGGCTGCCAACAAAACCTAGGCTCTATTAAGAGCTAGCTCTCTAAAATGTACTGAAAGTACTAGCTTTGGCTTGTAATTGTGGTGAGGCTGTTGATCGAGTTCTAAATAAAATATTAATGGCTCTTACTATAATAAAATATGAATGGCTCTGGCTATAATAAAATATGATTGAGTCTTGGTTTATTTTATGTCTTGGAAGACAATATAAACACCATAACGTAAAATAACCTTGAAACTTTGTTTTCAGTTTTCCTCAATGTATCCCGTGAGCTCTACTGTACTACACATCCTTTCTACATGGCAAGAGCTTTCATCATATCCGCTACATCTGTACTTTTTATACTTCCGTTATGCTTTACGAAGAGAATCGATTTTTTAAAACACTCTAGGTAAGTTTACAAAATGAAAGAAATATTTACAGCGTTATCCTGAAGATCTCGAGTTTAGATCTCGATTTGGACTTGTGACTGTAGAACGCCCCTGAGTCTAGCAAGCTTTGATAGGACTATCATAGGACCCTGACTTACGTAAACTAAAATAAATGTGATTGGGCATAGTGCTAACCACACCATCCCTTCATATGCAGAGGTCAATAAACATATCAACTCTACTTCATCTGTTCAATGGATCGCTGGGTCTAAAGAGGAATCGTTACTTTTATTTTCAAGATTATCGAGATTATATTTTTCCTTCCTAGCGTGCTAGGTGTCATCGGTTGCTTATACATAGCAGTTCTGGTTGCTGTCAAGTTTTTTCTACATCATGATAATCAAGGAAAAATTGCTACAGCGTATGTTAAAATTGTTACTTTCATATACACATTTATAAGGAAAGAATATAAAATTGTGTTTTACAGCAAGAACATTGAAAATAAATACAAAAACACGTATATAAAAAAATTATTTTTTTAAACAATTGCATAAAAAACGTTTTAATAACAAGCTTTTATGTAAACATGCACTTAAAGGGAGAAACTAAAATATTTTCTTTAAATATGTAATAATACACTACTTAAATTAATATAAAGGAAAGCGTGTGTCACTATATTCCTAAGCGACCCACGCTTTTTCTATACAGTTATTTAAATTGTACTGTAGTGTGTTATTATAGATTTTAAGAAAAAGTTTTTTTTCCTCTTTTAAATGTATTATTACATAAAAGCTTGCTATTAAAAAAAATAATTATCCTTTTTTTTTCAATTTCCAGTCCACATTCTTGGATAGATGTTTTCCTTGTTGTACCAAACATTTGTTTCGCCTATGCTGTAAGTCTGTTGTTTTGGTTGCTCATGTGTGTTAGATTTTGGCTGGTGTACATACACCAATACATTTTTAATGTGTTTAGTGCTGCTTAAATCAGTCGTAATTTATTCTGATGCTCAGTCTGGATGCGTCATTTTTATTGTCTTCATCGCCAGATGTCGTATGAGTTTGTTTTTGGTTGTTTTTTTTTTTTTGTTTTTTTTTGGGTTTGTTTTTTTTCTATACCGATATTGTCCATAAAAATTCCTACATGCTTGATTCGTCTGTAAACCAAATGTATCATATTATTTTGACCAAGTTTTACATTCGTTATTCCAGTGTCACGTCACCATCGTCCCTGTTTACTCATCCATGGCCAAACGTAACATGAGAGAGTTCTCTAAAACAGTAACACTTGCTATGATATTGTGTATCATAACCTACACGGTCACTGCAGCTTTGGGATATCTACAGGTTTGTCATGGTATAACTCAAGTGAGTTAATTTCCCTTTCTCACCTGGTGGCCTGCGGTGCTGATGAAGCAGAGTTCACCTAAATATCAATGACTATTATGCCCCGCCGCCTTAAATTTCCCTAATGTTAGTCAAGTACCCATCAGAGTTGGATGGTGTTAGGGACGTACTACGCCTCTAGCCAGGGACCCGAACACGAGACTTTCGGGTTAGCAGATAAATGTCCTCTTATTCGGCCACACGGTCGCTTGTCATAATAAAGCTTGCGGTATTTTATTATTTATAACATTATATTTTTTAACAAGTCTGTAGACCTATTTATACATTTGTAGTTTCACGAATTAATGACAAATTCAGCATTCTTAAACAACTGATCATAGCATAAAAAAGCTATTAATGTTGATAATTACTAGTATTTGTAAACGTTCTACAGTTTGGTGACAACATCACCAATGACATACTGCTGTCGTTTAACCCAACAACTGATGTAATGGTGGCTGTTGTTCTAGTGGCTGTAAAAACGTACACCACATATCCCATTATTTGCTTCGTTGGAAAGTATGTTGTAAAGTCGTGAGTTTTAAAATAAAAACAATTGAGCAAATATCAATTATAAGACCATTTAAAAAACAGTTTTTATCTATTTCTGTTTTTCTAACTGTAAAGAGCTCAAGTATATCTCACTTATTTTCATTGTGTAACAGAACCGCTTTTGAAACGTTGTGGAGAATGTTCTGGAAAATGAGTCCAGACGAAATATTAACCAGAGAAAAGACGAGACGTGTCATAACGACATTGGTGTGGTTCACCTTGACCCTGCTGTTGTCCATCTTCACCCCCAATATAGGTGTGGCCATACAGATCCTCGGGGCCAATACTGCACTGTTAATATTTGTATTTCCAGGTTAGGTGTTTTTTTTTTTTTTTTTTTTTTTTGAGTGTATTCAAAAATGTGTCTAGGGCTACATAATATGTGGATGCATTCCAAAATATTAAATAAATTTACCATAATATATTTAATAGTACAACAACTAATGTCCATATATATATATATATATATATATATATATATATATATATATATATATATATATATATATATATACAATAATGTCATATATATATATATATATATATATATATATATATATATATATATATATATATATATATATATATATATATATATATATATATATATATATATATGACATTATTGTGGATCTTATTTCCGAATGTATTAACATATTAACGTTTTACTGTTGCCACTCCATCACTATTATTATTACAGTGTTATGCATTACAAAGTTTTGTAATAAATACTTTGTGCGTGCGTTATATTTCTCTGTTCCTTCTTAAATACAAAAAACACTGAGACTATTCAAATGATAGGGAAATTTGTTACTTACTCTTTGATTGACGAAATGTTTTCTTTAAAAAATGTTAATAACATGTTAATATTAAATTTATATTAATTGAATTTTTTTTTTTTATTGTTAGGCTTATGTTTGTTGAAGACGATGGAAAATATAATTGAGTCAGACAAGAATCAGCCCAAGGAAGTTCGTGTATTGAAGTGGATCGGCATAACCTACTCCGTTCTTGGTGTGTTTATGTTTGGACTGACTTTGACGCAGATCATAATGAAAAACATTCAGGGTGTCAAGCCAGATTCGTCCAAATTTACATGTAGCTAGTTGTATATTTATGTATCAGATTGAATGGTGCCTAGGCTCAATGCTAGTTATTCAATGGAATTTATTCATGTGAATTATGATATTATCCTGCGTAACCTAGAAGAATATTCTGTTAAATTTTTACGGCCTGACTTTTTAAAATCTAAAAAAAAATTCCAATAAATGTAAATTACCTCAGCTTGCAAATTTTACAATTCTAGCTACATCTGAGAAATACATGCTGTTTTCAATACTCATAATGTTGTATTGTAAATTATATTATTCTAAACAAATTCATAAATAATGTTTTGCTAAATGCTATAGATATCAAACTTTTGGTCGAACTGTTCCATAAACTTAATAAAATGTTTATTTAATATTTAAAACTTACGATGTATAGTGTCAGAGAAAGTGGAGAGAAGACGCGTCTATAACCAGGATATTTGTGTATTCATGAGTACATCAGCTTCTTGCATTTTCTAGAACTTAGTTATTTTAGAGCCTGAGAAAGAGAACTTAAGGTTATAAACACCGTGCTTTTTAAGTTGACGTTCGTTTTGTTCTCTTATTTCGCCATGTCCATCAGACCCGTCGTATAGACATGCCTGTGGGTAATGTGATTGTCGTTACGGACCGTCACACGGCCATATAGATGGTCCGATTTGCGTTATCGACCGTCTAATCTGCCGTATAGAAGGTATGGTCTACCATTTGACGGTCGAATCGATTGTTTGGTAGGTCAGATTTTCGTATTAGATCCCATACGTAGCGATTTCATGTAGCAATTTCCGATTGCTCAAAAACCTTCAAACTTCGATAGTACAATATAAAATTGTCATATAGTAGCAAGAAATATTCCTGCAATCATATAGCCCGATTCAGAGTTTTTTCCAGGCATCTCTTCGGGGGGAGGGGGGCTATATCGCCCAACCCTTCCCCCCCCCCCCGGAAAATTTAGTCCCCCCACCCCCCGAAAATATCAAGAGCCCCCCGGAGAAAAAAGTCTGGAAGAAACACTGGTCCGATTCCACTTACGTCTTTACGATCTGCCGATTAAACGATCACATCAACGGAAGGTCACATCTGTCGTTTTGTTATCAACAATCATGTTTTAGTAATAAATAATATATTTGTGACAATCTATTAAACGTATTTTTTTTTCTTTTAGAACTTTTTTAAAGGGGAGCAGAACGTTTGACCGATAGTCGATTTTCGAATGGACGTTTGGTCCAATGTGACAAATATTCGAGTGGACTTTTGACCGAATGCGACTATTACCCAAATGGACGTTTCTCAAAAGAATGGTATGAGAGCAAGGGTAGCGAGATAGTGGGTAAACATTAGCAGAGAACAGTTGTAGTTAGAAAATCTTTATTCAATAAACTTGGGTGGGGGACATACACGTAACAACAGCTGACCATATGTGACCAGTCGATCTGAAATAGAAAAACGTGTATGATATTTTAAATATGGTGTTATAATTAGCGTGCAATTAATTATAGATTTTAAGAAAAAAAATAGGTTTGTGTTAATTTGAACCGCAAAAGATAAAATATACAATAAAAAATAACGAAAACAGATTAACAAACACGATTTACCGTAATATGGAAATGTTAACCGGAAATGTATAAAAGGTATATAGAGGACCGCCCCCACTCCAAGTATTCCAGTGGCCACATACACGTACTCGAGCTTGGGGTTGATGGCCAGTGGCGAGATGAACAGGTACAGGTTGGTCAGTAGCATTAGGATAGGGATGACTAGTGGTACCTGGTGACATAAGGATAGGGATGACATAAGGATAGGGATGACATAAGGATAGGGATGACATAAGGATAGGGATGACCAATGGTACCTGGTGACATAAGGATAGGGATGACATAAGGATAGGGATGACATAAGGATAGGGATGACATAAGGATAGGGATGGTCAGTGGTATCTGGTGACATAAGGATAGGGATGACCAGTGGTATTTGGTGACATTAGGATAGGGATGACCAGTGGTATTTGGTGACATAAGGATAGGGATGACCAGTGGTATATGGTGACATAAGGATAGGGATGACATTAGGATAGGGATGACCATTGGTACCTGGTGACCTAAGAATAGGGATGACATAAGGATATGGATGACATTAGGATAGGGATGACATAAGGATAGGGATGACACAAGGATAGGGATGACCAGTGGTATTTGGTGACATTAGGATAGGGATGACCAGTGGTATCTGGTGACATAAGGATAGGGATGACATTAGGATAGGGATGACCATTGGTACCTGGTGACCTAAGAATAGGGATGACATAAGGATATGGATGACATTAGGATAGGGATGACATAAGGATAGGGATGACACAAGGATAGGGATGACCAGTGGTATTTGGTGACATTAGGATAGGGATGACCAGTGGTATCTGGTGACATAAGGATAGGGATGACATAAGGATAGGGATGACCAGTGGTATTTGGTGACATTAGGATAGGGATGACCAGTGGTATCTGGTGACATAAGGATAGGGATGACATAAGGATAGGGATGACCAGTGGTATTTGGTGACATTAGGATAGGGATGACCAGTGGTATCTGGTGACATAAGGATAGGGATGACATTAGGATAGGGATGACCATTGGTACCTGGTGACCTAAGAATAGGGATGACATAAGGATAGGGATGACATTAGGATAGGGATGACCATTGGTACCTGGTGACCTAAGAATAGGGATGACATAAGGATATGGATGACATTAGGATAGGGATGACATAAGGATAGGGATGACATTAGGATAGGGATGACATTAGGATAGGGATGGTCAGTGGTACCTGGTGACATAAGGATAGGGATGACATAAGGATAGGGATGACATTAGGATAGGGATGACCAGTGGTACCTGGTGACATAAGGATAGGGATGACCAGTGATACCTGGTGACATATGGATAGGGATGACATAAGGATAGGGATGACATAAGGATAGGGATGACATAAAGATAGGGATGACACAAGGATAGGGATGACATTAGGATAGGGATGACCAGTTGTACCTGGTGACATAAGGATAGGGATGACATAAGAATAGGGATGACATAAAGATAGGGATGACACAAGGATAGGGATGACATAAGGATAGGGATGACATAAGGATAGGGATGACATAAGGATAGGGATGACATAAGGATAGGGATGACACAAGGATAGGGATGACATAAGGATAGGGATGACATAAGGATAGGGATGACATAAGGATAGGTATGACATAAGGATAGGGATGACATAAGGATAAGGATGACATTAGGATAGGGATGACCAGTGGTACCTTAACCCTCACTCACCCGTACAGGTCCCCGCACGTGTTTCATCGTCTGCAGCCTGAACCTCAGCATGGCCAGGTACACACAGGCGTCAAAGAACGAGATCAAGAATCCCAGGTAGTTGATGAGAGAGCCAACATTTGCTGGGGCCAGGTAGACCAGAGCCAGGGCTGCCTGAGTGAGAGGACACAAAAATTATGTTGTGGCTTTTAATAGATATTAATTTAAAATAATAATCATTAAAAAAGTTTTTAAAAACCCACGTTTTCTGATTGAACTAAAAAGTAGAAAATAAATGCTATACATCACAATAATGCAAGCGATCACTCTACTATAAGCGATGAAAAACGTGGGGCGCCGAAGTAAAAGTTATATTACTATTGATTAGATAATACTATTGACTTTTATTAGGGAGCTTGTAGAGAGTCAACAGTATTAGAAACTGTAAGAAAATCACGGCGCCCCACGTTTTTTATCGCTTATA